AGGGATAGGGGGAGCAGTTTAGTGGAGTTAGGCAGTATTTAGGTCGTAAAAGTGAGCTACCAAATTAAGTGGGGCCTGGCTATTTTTGGTTGTTGTTTTTCAATTGGGTTTTTCTAATAAAAAACAACACACTTAGTATGATGTTTATAAAGGGTTGTTATTTTGATTTTAGGGGGTTTTCAACAGGTCAAAGGTGATAAGTCTTAAAGGAGCACACACAGTGAATTTTATGGAGTTTTTCGGTTTTGACTGAGTTTAGGGTATACATGATTTCTTATGAGAATAAATGTCATGAGGACTTAATGAACACATGGGATAAGTAACATTTATGAAATATTAAGGATGAGGGTAATGTTTAGTATACTATGGGATGGAACAGTTCGTTGAATGATTTTAATGGCCTCTGAACTCTGTTTTGACTTTCTGGTGTGAATTGATCATCCACACTGGTAAATTCTAAAGGCATGAGAGGAGGACTTTAAGATAATTATTTTACCAAGTTGAGGGTAATTTATAGTACTGTGAAAAGTGTGAAGAACTTTATAATTTGGTAATAATATATATGATTCGAACCATAAAATAACAGAAGAGAGAGAGAGCTTTCCCTGAATGAGGGATACCTGTTGCTAGTAAATTGTACTAATCTTGGATTACTTTTGCGGGATAGAAGTAAATTGAGGTATTATCAAATGTTGTCAGCAGGGTTAAAACACTTCTCTGGTCCCAGTCAGCTGTCAAAAGAGGAAGTTTAGATAGATAGAGATCTACTTATAGAGAGCTACAGTAGGGCCCCAATTAAGGAAGTTCACAAATGGGTGAAGCAAGGCGCAGTAAATAAGGAAGGAATATGGGTCAAAGATTGCTTACCAATTCTCCCGAAATTACTGTTTAGATATGCTGCAATATTGACACACGGGCAGATCCATGTGTCAACGGGAGGGATGGATGGTAGAGCAGATTAGACAACACTTTGTTGCATATGGGATTACTAATTATTTTACACAAAAAAGTTTGTTCAAGATGTGTTATCTGTGCTCAAAATAATCACCAGGGCAGACAAAGGGCACCTCAGGGTGAGTATCCTCCGGCTAAGTACCCCTTCCAGCAATTGGAAATTGATTTTATAGAGTTATCACGGAGTGAAGGGAAGAAATTTAGAGTAACCCCAGATAAAGATGGGTTATCCCCCTTTGAGAAAGTGTTTGGAAGACCTTACAGAATGCCACAGTTGGCAGGACCAGAACAGGCAGACATAGAACTAGAGAATACACTAGCAGAACACATTAGAAAATTGTTCGTTAACCATACCCGTATGTCTAAGAATTTGTGTCCTACAGGAGAATTAAAGGAGAAGGTGATTCATAGTATATAACCTGGAGACTGGGTGTGGATCCAATCGTTGAGGAAAAAGGATTGAAAGCAGCTACACTGGGAGGGACCATACCAAGTCCTATTGGTAACTGCCTTCGCTATAAGAATAGCTGAGAGAGCCACTTGGGTCCACGTTACCCACTGCAAAAAGGTAGGCCCACATACCAACACTGTTGAACACACACAGAGTTAAAGAGAAGAACTGACCCACTAGGGTTCGGGGGTAAACTCTGTTAACGAAGAAACCCTACCCCGACCTTTCATCACTGTGGGGTGTTTATAGAGGTGTGGGTATGGGGAAGTACCAGGCAGGTGGGTCAGGGACAGGATTGGGATGGCGGTTTTGGGGATTTTGGGGGACTCTGAGCTGCATCATCATGTTAACCATATTATGGATTCATCCAGGTCAACCTAAACAGGGAAATTATGCACTGATTAGATCTCGTAGAAATACTGAAACCAAGAAAGACTATTGGGGGAATTATTATTTTAATAGTTAAAGTCAGTTTAGGACAAGATGGGGGATTCAAGATACCATTCGACTTCTCCCATGAAGAGATAGGAGGTTTTGGGGGCTTTGGTAAGAAGGGGGCATGTACAAGAAAGTTAGGTCCTAGAAGGTATGGTAAATACATTTGCACTGGGGAACGCTCATGTCCTTGGGCAAGGGTGTTTAAACATACCTGGGAGAATGGAATGGACGCAGCACACCGATGGGGAATTAAACAAACCCATGATAAATGTAAAATGGAGCTGGTGATAACGGTAATGTCAATTATGCAAGATGATAAGCAAGGAACTATTGGGTCTGTGTTGATGATGTCGGGGCAAATACATGTGTGAGGCTAATTTTTCAGGAGAGAAATTAATCTTCCACCCCCGAGACAGAACAGCAGGTAGATCTAATGTTATCACCAGAGGTACCAAAAAACTAGTCTAATACCCCTTGGAAGGCCCTCAGAAGGAATCCTAAATAGCACTAAACCACCAAGGGTAGAATATTTCCTCTTGCAGGAAATGAACCAAGGAGAAGTAGAAGGAATTTCAAATGAGAACTTCTGGGTAAGGTGGATGAACTACACAGCTAGGGTGTTGGGTCAAACTAATTGTTATGCCTGTTCAACAGGTAGGCCAACCCTTCTAACTGCACCTATGCCTCGGACCATGTTCTCTTGTGTGATAGATTTGGGATCAAACCAAACCTCGCCTAATTGTTCTGATATTAAAATAACCACTCTTAAAAAGGATAATACTAAGGCACCCCAATTCACCATGAACCCCGGAGATTATCAATGTTATAGACACCAAAGTAATGCGAATCACAGATCAAATTGGAGAAGAGTTTACAACAACGTTTTTCTGGTGGGTTACAATTGATAAAAATATTGACTGGATTAATTACATCTACAAAGGTTTGTTAATTAGACAAGGGATGCAGTGAAGAGAATCTCAGGCCAATTATCCGCCACCTCACTCATGACCTGTGTATATAATACATGTTCATGTTTGTTATATGATGTAAATGTTAAATAGATGCAATTTGCAAGTTGGTGGGGTTCTTCAGTGGCCCCCACATTTTATCAGGCATTTTGGAATATGTATAAATAAACACTTTTTGTACACCTGCCACACAATAGATTGAAGTTTTAGTTTACAGTTTGACATTTTAAGACTAAATGCTTTACCATGTGCATTTGTTCCAATACAGACTGTCATACATCTGAGGTTCCTACAACACTTAACATGGGCAGCTCCTCCACGTAGGTTGATGAAAAATACCCTATCGGTCCATTCAAAATCCCATACCACCAACTACTGTCTTCCTTTTGATAGATGTCAAGGTCTCCTGTAACAAATGATTTTGTTAGTATATACAGTGGCGAAAAAAAGTATTTAGTCAGCCACCAATTGTGCAAGTTTCCCACTTAAAAAGATGAGAGAGGCCTGTAATTTTCATCATAGGTACACGTCAACTATGACAGACAAAATGAGAAAAAAAATCCAGAAAATCACATTGTAGGATTTTTAATGAATTTATTTGCAAATTATGGTGGAAAATAAGTATTTGGTCAATAACAAAAGTTTCTCAATACTTTGTTATATACCCTTTGTTGGCAATGACACAGGTTAAACGTTTTCTGTAAGTCTTCACAAGGTTTTCACACACTGTTGCTGGTATTTTGGCCCATTCCTCCATGCAGATCTCCTCTAGAGCAGTGATGTTTTGGGGCTGTCACTGGGCAACATGGACTTTCAACTCCCTCCAAATATTTTCTATGGGGTTGAGATCTGTAGACTGGCTAGGCCACTCCAGCACCTTGAAATGCTTCTTACGAAGCCACTCCTTCGTTGCCCGGGCGGTGTGTTTGGGATCATTGTCATGCTGAAAGACCCAGCCACGTTTCATCTTCAATGCCCTTGCTGATGGAAGGAGGTTTTCACTCAAAATCTCACGATACATGGCCCCATTCATTCTTTCCTTTACACAGATCAGTCGTCCTGGTCCCTTTGTAGAAAAACAGCCCCAAAACATGATGTTTCCACCCCCATGCTTCACAGTATGTATGGTGTTCTTTGGATGCAACTCAGCATTCTTTGTCCTCCAAACACGACGAGTTGAGTTTTTACCAAAAAGTTATATTTTGGTTTCATCTAACCATATGACATTCTCCCAATCCTCTTCTGGATCATCCAAATGCACTCTAGCAAACTTCAGACGGGCCTGGACATGTACTGGCTTAAGCAGGGGGACACGTCTGGCACTGCAGGATTTGAGTCCCTGGCGGCGTAGTGTGTTACTGATGGTAGGCTTTGTTACTTTGGTCCCAGCTCTCTGCAGGTCATTAACTAGGTCCCCCCGTGTGGTTCTGGGATTTTTGCTCACCGTTCTTGTGATCATTTTGACCCCACGGGGTGAGATCTTGCGTGGAGCCCCAGATCGAGGGAGATTATCAGTGGTCTTGTAAGTCTTCAATTTCCTAATAATTGCTCCCACAGTTGATTTCTTCAAACCAAGCTGCTTACCTATTGCAGATTCAGTCTTCCCAGCCTGGTGCAGGTCTACAATTTTGTTTCTGGTGTCCTTTGACAGCTCTTTGGTCTTGGCCATAGTGGAGTTTGGAGTGTGACTGTTTGAGGTTGTGGACAGGTGTCTTTTATACTGATAACAAGTTCAAACAGGTGCCATTAATACAGGTAACGAGTGGAGGACAGAGGAGCCTCTTAAAGAAGAAGTTACAGGTCTGTGAGAGCTAGAAATCTTGCTTGTTTGTAGGTGACCAAATACTTATTTTTCACCATAATTTGCAAATAAATTCATTAAAAATCCTACAATGTGATTTTCTGGATTTTTTTTTCTCATTTTGTCTCTCATAGTTGACTGTACCTATGATGAAAATTACAGGCCTCTCTCATCTTTTTAAGTGGGAGAACTTGCACAATTGGTGGCTGACTAAATACTTTTTTCCCCCACTGTAATAAGGTTTTTCATCCATCCCTACAGTCTATTTTTAATGTTCCTTACCTTCTTTCATAATCAATTCATCTTCTCTGTCTGTGAAATCGAAAAGTGCTTTGCATTTCCCAATTCTGCACCTGAAGGAGACATTTCTATGTATTAGTGTTTCTTGTTAGGGCAAGATCGGAATGATAAATCTTTGTGATCGTACATGTGTATCGGTGTCACCTTCCTCATCATCAGTCTTGGCCATGGCTCCATCAACACTGCAGCTCCAGGAGAGTGTGGCTCTATCTTGAATGACAGCAGTCAAGACATGGTTTGCTTTCACTGGGGCCTCTGCTGATGTCACACTCTGAGAGGGTCCTTTGTAAATGATGGAGCTCCTCAAACGCGATCTTAATGTTGTCTTTCTGATTTTGACTGGATGGGCCAATTGAATAATACTGTGCTCACAATCCTTTGAAAACAGGACATAATCTGGTTAGGATGTATATTAACATGTTAAATTGCATATAGTCTTTTGTGTCATCAAAAAGGTTATGCCATGGTGTTTGTGCTGTCTAAATCTGAATGAACTGTATATGTTGTAAATTATATAATATAGGCTAGAATGAATTTGTACAATGCCCTGACAAACGCAATTTGATTATGAATCTACACTATATATACACAAAATTAATTGATTTGGCTATTTCAGCCACACCCGTTGCTGACAGGTGTATAAAATCGAGCACACAGCCATGCAATCTCCATAGACAAACATTGGTAGTAGAATAGCCTTACTGAAGAGCTCAGTGACTTTCAACGTGGCACCGTCATAGGATGCCACCTTTCCAACAAGTCAGTTCGCCAAATTTCTGCCCTCCTAGAGCTGCCCCGGTCAACTGTACAGTAAGTGCTGTTATTGTGAAGTGGAAATGTCTAGGAGCAACAACGGCTCAGCTGCGAAGTGTTAGGCCACACAAGCGCACGGAATGGGACCACTGAAGCGCGTAGTGCGTAAAAATCGTCTGTCCTCTGTTGCAACACTCACTAACGAGTTCCAAACTGCCTCTGGAAGCAACGTCAGCACAAGAACTGTTCGTCGGGAGCTTCATGAAATGTGTTTCCATGGCCGAACAGCAGCACACAAGATCACCATGCGCATCTGGCAGTCCGACGGACAAATCTTGGTTTGGCGGATGCCAGGAGAACGCTACCTACCCGAATGCATAGTACCAATTGTAAAGTTTGGTGGAGGAGGAATAAGGGCCTGGGGCTGTTTTTCATGGTTCGGCCTAGGCCCCTTAGTTCCAGTGAAGGGAAATCTTAACGCTACAGCATACAATGACATTCTAGACGATTCTGTGCTTCCAACTTTGTGGCAACAAAGGCCCTTTGAACAAATAATAGATGAACAAATATTTTTTTAAGCGTATATTGCAGTATGTAAATGTCCTCATCAAGCAACTGTTCCGTGTATTCCAGGTTCTTTTTGTTTGAGAACGATGGGTTTTCAGAGTAGGTCTTCACCAGTCTCTCAAGACCTATTATTCATTGGATATTGGAAGACATTTAAACACATGAAACAAAAAGGTTTCACTCAGAAATGTATTATTTCCAGTGGAATTCTTTGCTTTCATTTTTCAACACTTACCATCACAGTCTTAGTCTTTCTTTGTTTTCGTGATACTGTCCTCCAGCCGCTGGAGTCTGGATTTGATGGCATCTCTTCTTCTGTCTATTTCCATCAATGACTTACTGTCCTCCTCCTGATTAACATAAGTCATTCGGGGTCAGGCACTGTGTAATGTCAGGCAAAATCACACCAATCCCAGAACTATTTACAAGTACAAATCTACTGTACAATTATGTGAACAAAATTGACCCTTACAAAATTATCAGCCATCAGAAACTCAGCCTTGTTGTCCTCTGCTGTTACACTGGTTTCCTCCACCAGACGTTGGATATCCTTCTCCAAATCAACTCTCTGGATGGCTTGCTCTCTTTGTTTCTGGCTCTGTAAGTCATACAAGAGGATAATGAATGATACAGTTTTTGTCACAGGGTTGTAATTAGGGTCATTTTGGGAAGAACGCTCACATGTACGAAGGTCTGTCCGAAGCTTGCCATGTGGAGGTTATATTCATTCAGTATGTTGCACAGAACTTCTATCCGCTGTTTCTCAAGCTCCTGGATTATCTGAAATGATAAAGTTAGTCTAGCAGCCACACAATATGAATGCTGCAAAACTCAAAACCTGACTCTCTCTAACTTGGAGAGGAGCCGTACAATACAACTAAACTCTGCAAATCTAAACTTGTTGGGTGACCTGTATTGACCCCTTCTCTAGACCAGCAGTATCTTTTCTCAATACAAATGGTTTTGGAACAAATGTACTGTAGTGATTGGTCAGAACCTGGTAGCAGTTTTTCAGCGTGTTTTCCCACTTTAGTCTGATTTGATGGCCATCCATGTTGATGTTGAAGTACTTCTCATCTGCTCTCGTCTGGGCCTCAGCAGACTTTGTCAGTCGGTTCATCATCTAGTCAACAACAGATCAAGTCATCTTTTTTAAACTTTTATTACATTGAGAATGTCCGTTTTCATTAACATACATACATCATACAATACATATTCAGTGCAGTACCTTCTGTTAGTTTTTTCTCTGTGCAAATGAGTGTATTCTTTTCAACAAAGTTGAACAGGGCCTCGTGGTCTTTTGTCATTCCAACCAATTTCTTCTTAATCTGTGAGGGAAAATGTATAAACAATATTCTTAACCAATAATTTTCTTTGATTTATGTAATCAACCAAATAATGTAACGTCTCAGAAATGTACAAGGAAGTAGAGTTAATTTAGAGTTAATTTAATTTAGACTTGATTGACTGATCAATACAGTACCCCCTGGATTTATCTTTATTTTGAACTGATATGCAGCCAGGAAACTTCAATTGTAAATGACCTCAATATGAAACAATATTGTTGCTTTGATCACATCAGAAGATATCCTATATAGCGTTTGCCCACTGACAAAGAACTGATCAGTCTATACTTTTAATGGTAGGTTTATTTGAACAGTGAGAGACAGAATAACAACAAAAAAATCCAGAAAAACGCATGTCAAAAATTTTATAAATTGATTTGCATTTTAATGAGGGAAATAAGTATTTGACCCCCTCTCAATCAGAAAGATTTCTGGCTCCCAGGTGTCTTTTATACTGGTAACGAGCTGAGATTAGGAGCACACTCTTAAAGGGAGTGCTCCTAATCTCAGTTTGTTACCTGTATAAAAGACACCTGTCCACAGAAGCAATCAATCAATCAGATTCCAAACTCTCCACCATGGCCAAGACCAAAGAGCTCTCCAAGGATGTCAGGGACAAGATTGTAGACCTACACAAGGCTGGAATGGGCTACAAGACCATCGCCAAGCAGCTTGGTGAGAAGGTGACAACAGTTGGTGCGATTATTCGCAAATGGAAGAAACACAAAATAACTATCAATCTCCTGGGGCTCCATGCAAGATCGTGAAGGACTGAAATCCTGCAGCGCCCGCAAGGTCCCCCTGCTCAAGAAAGCTCATATACATGCCCGTCTGAAGTTTTCCAATGAACATCTGAATGATTCAGAGGAGTACTGGGTGAAAGTGTTGTGGTCAGATGAGACCAAAATGGAGCTCTTTGGCATCAACTCAACTCGCCGTGTTTGGAGTAGGAGGAATGCTGCCTATGGGACAGGACAACTTCACCGCATCAAAGGGACGATGGACGGGGCCATGTACCGTCAAATCTTGGGTGAGAACCTCCTTCCCTCAGCCAGGGCATTGAAAATGGGTCGTGGATGGGTATTCCAGCATGTCAATGACCCAGAACACACGGCCAAGGCAACAAAGGAGTGGCTCAAGAGGGAGCTGAAGGTTCGAGTTGCCAAATGTCAGGCTCGAAACCTTAATGACTTGGAGATGATCTGCAAAGAGGAGTGGGACAGAATCCCTCCTGAGATGTGTGCAAACCTGGTGGCCAACTACAACAAACGTCTGACCTCTGTGATTGCCAAAAAGGGTTTTGCCACCAAGTACTAAGTCATGTTTTGCAGAGGGGTCAAATACTTATTTCCCTCATTAAAATGCAAATCAATTTCTAAAATTTTTGACATGCGTTTTTCTGGATTTTTTTGTTGTTATTCTGTCTCTCACTGTTCAAATAAACCTACCATAAAAATTATAGACTGATAATTTCTTTGTCAGTGGGCAAACGTACAAAATCAGCAGGGGATCAAATACTTTTTTCCCTCACTGTAGTCTTATACTCAGCTGGCCCCTCCCTCTTGTTCTGAACATCTCCAAAACAAAGGTTATGTGGTTCGAAGAATGCCCCTCTCCCCACCGGTGTGATTACTACCTCTGAGGGTTTAGAGCTTGAGGTAGTCGCCTCATACAGGTACTTGGGAGTATGGCTAGACGGTTCACTGTCCTTCTCTCAGCACATATCAAAGCTGCAGGCTAAGGTTAAATCTAGACTTGGTTTTCTCTATCATAATTGCTCCTCTTTCAACCCAGCTGCCAAACTAACCCTGATTCAGATGACCATCCTACCCATGCTAGATTACGGAGACGTAATTTATAGATCGGCGGGTAAGGGTGCTCTTGAGCGGCTAGATGTTCTTTACCATTCGGCCATCAGATTTGCCACCAATACTCCTTATAGGACACACCATTGCACTCTATACTCCTCTGTAAACTGGTCATCTCTGTATACCCGTCGCAAGACCCACTGGTTGATGTTTATTTATAAAACCCTCTTAGGCCTCACTCCCCCCTATCTGAGATACCTACTGCAGCCCTCATCCTCCACATACAACACCCGTTCTGCCAGTCACATTCTGTTAAAGGTCCCCAAAGCACACACATCCCTGGGTCGCTCCTCTTTCCAGTTCGCTGCAGCTAGCGACTGGAACGAGCTGCAAAAAACACTCAAACTGGACAGTTTTATGTCCATCTCTTCATTCAAAGACTCAATCATGGACACTCTTACTGACAGTTGTGGCTGCTTCACGTGATGTATTGTTGTCTCTACCTTCTTGCCTTTGTGCTGTTGTCTGTGCCCAATAATGTTTGTACCATGTTTTGTGCTGCTACCATGTTGTGCTGCTGCCATGTTGTGTTGCTACCATGTTGTTGTCATGTGGTGTTGCTACCATGCTGTGTTGTCATGTGTTGCTGCCATGCTATGTTGTTGTCTTAGGTCTCGCTTTATGTAGTGTTGTGGTGTCTCTCTTGTCATGATGTGTGTTTTGTCCTATATTTTTATTTTTAATCCCAGCCCCCATCCCCGCAGGAGGCCTTTTGCCTTTTGGTAGGCAGTCATTGTAAATAAGAATTTGTTCTTAACTGACCTGCCTAGTTAAATAAAGGTTAAATTAAAATTAAAATTAAAGGTTTGCAAAAAATTTAAGGAAGGCTTACCTTGATTTGTTCACTCCAGTTAGTCACAACAAGTTTTCCGGTTTTCTCAACAACATTATCAAGCTATTCAAGAAAGGGATAAGAATAATATGTCTCAATGTAGAATGATGTAGAGTGATGTAGAGTGATGTAGAATGATGTAGAGTGATGTAGAGTGATGTGTTGGTAGGAATAAATGGTCCAAATTACTTACAGGTCTCTTCCTCTTGTTGTGCACCTCTATGACTTGTCGAATTTCTAAAATGGCTTCTTCCTGAAAAGCACTTCCTAGCGCTCTAAAACCAAAACATTATCTCAGACTACAAAATATCCAACAACATATTTACTACAGGAAAGGCTCATAATAATGTCATAATATGATATATTATGTTAAGGTCATAAGGTAATGCGTGTAATACCTGTGTGTGTCTGCTGTTGAGTACATTTCATCAGATACATGGCACCATGCTCGGTAGGTGGAACTTCATGGAAATGAAAACAACAACATGCAGATTAGAGAGAGAGATTAGAGCACTATTACATTGGCACATGACTTCCACTTACAGTTGATATTTTATAGAAAAGGTACCCAACTCACTTGTCATTCATCACCTTGGATGCCTTGAGGAGTTTCCCAGCAAACTTCTGCAGTCCCTTGGCATAACTGATTTCCAGCTCAGCCCTAGTCACTGAGAAATGTCATCAAGGCCCGTTACTTTTTTCACACTGAGGTGAAACAGTGACTACAGGTAATCCAAATTCAATCCGGAAGTTAGGACTTCAGCATGCAGTTCTGAATGGATGTGTTGGTACGTAACAAAAAAAGAATATGTGCGGTCCAGCATCAAAAGTGTTTTACTTTTCCAATCTGAGATGGCATAATATGCTCAAATAAATGACCTCACTAAAGGATATTCTCAAGGAGTTGTGTATGCAAAGACATAACATTACATTGACCATACCTTTGCTGAAATACTGTCATGAGCTCCTTGCAGAAATGCTCCCCATTTTTGGAAAACCTCTTCAGATCTTGGTACAATAGGTTGTACTAAAACACATTCACCAAGTCGTGGTGTTGTCAAGCTGTGGCTATCTTGAGTAACCACTAATAAAAACAGCTATGAAGAAAATCCATTACATTTTGACTTATGGTACAAATATATAAAGGAGAAATAAGCTACATTTTTCTTTGTCCATTTGACTAAGTGTAGTCTTTGAAAAGAGGTAGAGTGAGTACTCACCGTACAGTTGCTCACAGGGTCCGGCATTTTCAGTCCAAGGTGGTTTATTGACTTTGCACTTTGAACACTCTCCTCCTAAAGTCATTCATGCGGAAATCACCTGAGCAAATACACTGAGTATACAAAACATTAAGAACACTTGCTCTTTCCATGACATAGACTGACCAGGTGAATCCAGGTGTAAGCTATGATCCCTTATTGATGTCACTAGTTAAATTCACTTCAATCAGTGTAGATAAAGGGGAGGAGACAGGTTAAAGAAGGATTTTTAAGCCTTGAGACAATTGACACATGGATTGTGTTTGTGTGCCATGCAGAGGGTGAATGGGCAAGACAAAACATGTAAGCGCTTTTGAATGGGGTATGGTAGTAGGTGTCAGGCGCACCGGTTTGAGTGTGTCAAGAACTGCAACGCTGCTGGGTTTTTCACACTCAACAGTTTCCTGTGTGTATCAAGAATGGTCCACCACCCAAAGGAGATCCAGCCAACTTGACACAACTGTGGGAAGCATTGGAGTCAACATGGACCAGTATCCCTGTGGAATGCTTTCGACACCTTGAAGGTGTTCCTAATGTTTTGTACACTCAGTATATAGCCAGTGCACAAAGGAAAATTCCATTGGAAGATTCAACCATTTATGTCCTCACCCATCCACTGTAACTTTGTGCACATGATAATTAATGTCAATACATTTCTTAATTTTCCCAAAGTTATTCAAAATTCATGAAAACCCTTTTCATTAGTACCTCCCCTTTCCCTTTCTTGCAGACAGAGTAAACCCAGGCCTTTATAATACTACCATTAAAGTATCATGTCATCTCTTAACATCAACAACAGGGACGATTGATACTGCATTAGAGACCTACACAATACACTTCCTATTCAATCCATGTGTCGTTGGATGATTCATATTTGCCAATACAAGTAAAAAGAGAAATTACATGGGTTTCTGGAGAGCTATTGTTTTTCTCTGAAATACAAATGCTACTTTAAGTTGAATATGCACTACATCTAGTTATATTTAAATGAGAATGTATGAGAATGGATTAGCAAGATGAAGGTCCCAAAAGTACTGTTGAATGAATATCAATGACAAGAATTCAGTCATGATTATGCAATCCCATTAATGATTAACTTGAGAGGACATCAGTTTCAAGAGGTTTTGTAACTAAAAAATAATAATTCATCATCAACTTGCCATGCCACAAAATTCAAATTCTGTAATCTACCAATATTACTCAGTTGCTTGTCACAAGAACAAGTATGCACAGTACCTGATAATTTAAATTAATCAGATAGACAAACATACTTTCTTACTTGCAATCTTTAATATTGTCAAGGGTTTTAAATGCATCATTGCTTAATAATACCTTAATCTGTCTTCCAAGAGGGCCATGAACAATTCATGAAATACTTACCAGAAATGTTGTAGAATACTTATAACAAAATGCTTTAATTTGAAATATAGCATGGCCCCATTTTTACACACACATACATAATACTGTTACTGATCTCTTTTACAGCTTATGGATGGATAATGTGTGTTTGTATTTCCCATAATAATGCATTGTTGTAAGAACACATTACTATTCATTTGTGAACAAAACAAATGCAAGCACGGTTTTAGCAAGTGGGGGGGGGGGGGGCATTGAAAACAAATCAAATTGTTTAGCATTTTGCCAATGACAAGACTCATGCTGTAATGTGTCTACCTGTTGATGGAATAGTGAAATGATACACATTATGGATTGGTTCATAATTAGCCAATCTTAACACTGACAATAACGTAGTTGAGACATGTTGACAATAATTTGCAAACATATATCTTTCAAAAATAAATAACATAAAGACACTAACATAATTAACCACCCCAAGTACGCCAGTCAGACTCCGTTTAAACATCATGCTTTCGCCATAATAGTGGAATGCTTTCATTCATTGGCTAAACAGAGAGAGTGGGCTGTACCGACAGGAATGCTTTCATTCATTGGCTAAACAGAGAGAGTGGGCTGTACCGACAGGAGTGCTTTGATATTTAATTGAATGCAGTTTGATGCAAATATAGAGAAAGATAATAAAATGAGAAGGGAAACATGGAAATAATCAAACTGAAAACTAAACTGCATTCATAGATTTCTATTAAGAACTTCCAGTACCAGACAGGCAATGTTGTTCATGTCGCATACGCACACATGTAGTATTTATGAATGGTGTCTGCAGCTTTGCTCCAGTGCTTATAATGTCTCATAGCGGCTGTTAGTGTTCCTCTGGACCAAGGGCCCCTGCTGACTGATACCCATTGGTCCTGTGTGCTTTATTGGTCCCGTTGGTGGTGCTGTTGTGGTGCTTCTGAACAGGAGCTGGCGGAGGACCGTTGTCCTCGTCAGAGCTGGACTCAATGTCACTGCGGTCGTCTTTCGACACCTGTGGAGATGTGCATGCGCTGTCAGAACAGCTCATATACCATCTGATGTCATGACAGAGGAAGTACAAGCAGTTGGCCATCGCTATTGGTTTCTTCATTTTACAACTGGTTTCCCCATTTTACAAATAAGATGAAAATGTAAATAAAAACACAAGGGATGTCGTGTCAGAACAATCTGTGATTGTGACTTGGTAGTGAGACGGCATGTGACAATACACAAATACGTTTATTCTCCTTCTGTTCCAACTACTTACATGTAAAGGATTCCACTTCCCTGTCTTGAAGGTTGAAAGGTTAGCATAAGGGATAGAGTAGTAAAATCAATTAAGGTTATTGACAACAAAACAGGCTCTTTAGTGAATAGCTCCTGTAATACAGTACATGTATGGTGAGCTTGAATGCTAAGATTCCCCAATGCTATGCTTTGCATTTACAATTACAAAAGGTAACATGGTGTTACTAAATTCTAACTACATACATAATGGGAATTATTTTCTAACTACACTACCGGTCAAACGTTTGGACACACCTACTCATTCAAGGGTTTTTCTTTATTTTTATATAATTGTAGCATAATAGTGAAGACATCAAAACTATGAAATAACACATATGGAATCATGTAGTAACCAGAAAAGTGTTAAACAAATCAAAATATATTTTATATTTGAGATTTTTCAAATAGCCACCCTTTGCCTTGATGACAGCTTTGCACACTCTTGGCATTCTCTCAACCAGCTTCATTAGGTAGTCACCTGGAATGTATTTCAATTAACAGGTGTGTCTTCTTAAAAGTGAATTTGTGGAATTTCTTTCCTTCTTAATGCATTTGAGCCAATCAGTTGTGTTGTGACAAGGTAGGGGTGGTATACAAAAGATAGCCCTATTTGGTAAAAGACCAAGTCCATGTTATGGCAAGAACAGCTCAAATAAGCAAAGAGAAACGACAGTCCATCATTACTTTAAGACATGACGTTAAGTCAATACGGAAAATTCGCAAAAACCATCAAGCGCTATGATGAAACTGGGTCTCATGAGGACCGCCACAGGAATGGAAGACCCAGAGTTACCTCTGCTGCAGAGGATAAGTTCATTAGAGTTACCAGCCTCAGAAATTGCAGGCCAAATAAATGATTCAGAGTTCAAGTAACAAACACATCTCAACATCAACTGTTCAGAGGAGACTGTGTGAATCAGGCCTTCATGGTCTAATTGCTGCAAAGAAACCACTACTAAAGGACACCAATAAGAAGAAGAGACTTGCTTTGGCCAAGAAACACGAGCAATGGACATTTGGAGTCCAAATTTGAGATTTTTGGTTCCAACTACTGTGTCTTTGTGAGACGCGGTGTGGGTGAACGGATGATCTCCGCATGTGTATTTCCCACCGTAAAGCATGGAGGAGGAGGTGTTATGGTGTGTGGGTGCTTTGCTGGTGACACTGTCTGTGATTTATTTAGAATTCAAGGCACAGTTAACCAGCATGGCTACTACAGCATTCTGCAGCGATACGCCATCCCATCTGGTTTGGGCTTAGTGGGACTATCATTTGTTTTTCAACAGGACAATGACCCAACACACCTCCAGGCTGTGTAAGGGCTATTTTACCAAGAAGGAGAGTGATGGAATGCTGCATAAGATGACCTGGCCTCCACAATCCCCCGACCTCAACCAAATTGAGATGGTTTGGGATGAGTCGGACCGCAGAGTGAAGGAAAAGCAGCCAAAAAGTGCTCAGCATATGTGGGAACTCCTTCAAGACTGTTGGAAAAGCATTCCAGGTGAAGCTGGTTGAGAGAATGCCAAGAGTGTGCAAAGCTGTCATCAATGCAAAGGGTGGCTATTTGAAGAATCTCAATTTGTTTAACACTTTTTTGGTTACTACATGACTCCATGTGTGTTATTTCATAGTTTTGATGTCTTCACTATTATTCTACAATGTATAAAATAGTAAAAATAAAGAAGAAAAAAAATTAAGAAAATGCAATTGAGATTCTTCCTTTGTCTCTTACCTTTCCTCTGGAGATTGCTCGACAGGCTATCTTCACTATGAGGTAGGACCAGAAGGAGTGCAGGAACTGCAGCAGGAATAGCAGCAGGTTGAACACCCACCAGGATGGGTACGGCCCCACGATCTCCCAGCTCTCAAACAAGGTAGTGTTTAAAATCCTACGAGAAAGAGAGAGAGAGATAAAGAATTAGTTAACTAATTTGACAAGTAAACCACACTACACACACATTCAGTGCAGCTCATAGCGACAGGATGTAGTAATGAGACAACAACGTCTCTATTGGGAATTTGGTAACAGACTGGAAATACTTATTGGTTTTAATATGTCTCTCTCTTTGAAAAAAAAAAAAACCTGTCAACTAAAGTACATGCCAGAAAAGCCCATCTGAGGCAGCTGTAACCAAATAAGCTACTTGTTAGACAACCCTTAGAATGCTAGGTGAACAGAAGAGAAGACAGTAAATGTTCTCGGTGCTCTAAGGTAGAGAGTAGGAATAGGCATGGCCAGGTGGTTGAGAGAGACCCTCAGGGACAACATAATAGGCTAACGTCCGGAGCCTTCAGCCCCTAGCTCAGGGTTTCTCAAACTCGGTCCTCGGGACCCCAAGGGGTGCACGTTTTGGTTTTTGCCCTAGCACTACACAGCTGATTCAAATAATCAACTAATCATCAAGCTTTGATAGTGTTAGGGCAAAAACCAAAACGTGCTCCTCTTGGGGTCCAGAGGACCGAGTTCGGGAAACGCTGCCCTAGCTTGCTCTCCATCCTCCACATCACACAGACAGACAGACAGACAGACAGACTCACTCTTAACAGCCAAGGATAATTATCACCCAGGAGACACAGACAGACAGACAGACAGACAAATACCTTTATCCCTTCTCACAGCTACACTGTACTGTGTGGAAAAGCTCAAGCAGCGCTTGTACCTTTACTGTATGAAGTCAATCTGTCATATAATGCAGACACTATTAGACCTACTTTAAAGAACATGTTAAATCCTTCATTCACTTGTCTGATGGTGAATGGCTTGATAGCTATTTAGCTATTTCAGTGAAGGTAGAGATATAGCTGGACCAATAATTGTCCATGATATGAACCCTGCTGATACTGAAGCCATGGCAACAGCTATACAGTAATGCCACCTTTCTGGTTGCTGTGGTGCACTCTGCCTGCACTGTGATATACTGTATAACCCACGACAGTATACTAACAAGAGGAAATCTCTGAACAAGACATTTCTAAAGGATTTACATTTCTTTAGAGACAGTGCACTGTACTGTAGAGGTTTAATATCTTTAGAATAAATAATAATAATAATAATAATAATAATAATAATAATAATGCCATTTAGCAGACGCTTTTATCCAAAGCGACTTACAGTCATGTGTGCATACATTTTTACGTATGGGTGGTCCCGGGGATCGAACCCACTACCCTGGCGATAAAGAGTTGTTTGTATATTTTGATCCGGTTCTAAAACAGCTCTGTCCTCGAGTGTGGTCTCAAAATAAAATATATTTTTGTTGATAAAGAAGGGGTGTCGTCTCAGAGCAGGATAGTAAATCACGTCCCTTTTCTCTTCTTACAGTGACGGTACTGCTGAGAGTGTGACAAGGACATGACACAGTAAGATGGTGCGCACGTATTCATGTACTATGACTGATTTGCTACTGCTTCTCTCTCATCAACGGCAGGATGCCTCGCTGATGACATATCAAATGCATTCCGGTGCAATCCAAATTCGTCATCTAATTGGAAGTCCAATATGTAAAAGACAACATTCTGGCATTGATACCAACTGACACAGGCACTGTGATAACATAAAGAGTTAGTTAATTGAGATGTTCAAAGTGTAAATTAATGTGCCATTTTAGATCCAGTGTCAATTTGACCCTGGTTTACATCATTAAATTATCTCAAAATAATGGTCCGTATTCGTCTTTCATCTTATTCCCCTCTCTCTCTTTACTGGAGAAGATACGTACGTCCATATTGTTGCTGTAGTATCCATAGTAACTATTACTAAGCAACAAAACTCACCAAGACCTGTATAAAATGAAAACCTTCCTGGAAAAATTGCAAAGCCCATTTGGAAAGTGTCAATATTCTGAGATCTACAGTACATTCAAGCCTCCTGTATTCGGAGACAGATTATACACAGAAACAAACATTCTCCGATATACAGTATCATTGTTTGTCTCAACTGGCAGCACAAAAGTGCATCTAAAATGCACTCGAGCCCATTGTTTCAATTGAGCTGTAGTTTTCAGAGAAGACATTGCGCTGCGTCCCAAATGCCACCCTATTCCCTACATAGTGCACTACTTTTGACCAGTGGCCATAGGGAATAGGGAGCCATTTGGGATGCACCCATTCTATGTAGAGACAAAGCATCCTTACCAGACAGGATAGACACCCAGCCTGGAGCTGATGAAGACCATTGCAAACATGACAAACAGGAGGTTGCAAAGTCTCTGAAACTTGGCATAGTTGGCCATTTTGGCAGCCTGCAACAGATGACACAGACACACGTTCACATGCAAAATGGTTACAAGAACAAAGATGGATGTTGTATCTATCTTTTTCATACACTGAAATTGTTTTTGGCAGTACATAATTGAAATCTACAGATGGCCGATTTCCCCGATAGCTACTGTGCTAATTGACCTCACTGTGTGATGGCTTGGTTGTGATTCTAAAACAATTACAAAAGGAACACAGGACCCTCCCACATGTCCATGAGGTGTGAAGAACACACATCAGGGCCACGTTCAGTAGGCAAAGGTTGTGGAACGTTGCAGAGAGAAATGTTATTCATTGAAATGAGAAAATTCATGTTTCTACATACCAGAGAGGCAGGTTTGTTCTACATGACATCTGAACGTGCCTCGCTCTACGAGTCCCATGTCTCTACTCACCTCCATCAGGATGTCGGCGGAGTCGTGGAGACACATGACCAGTGTGCCCACTCTAGCCATGTTGTTGACATAGGAAAAGGTGATGAGGGAGATTGTCGCCAAGTGGTGCAGGAACATGATCAGGAAGTCCTGGGGGACACAGGCATCATAGTCATGTCACACAATGGCAGAGGGAGAAAGCATTAACAGCTCTCTATCATTTGACTCACAGCAAGGGGACATGTACAGCATATGGGTTTTATGAAAGCTTCTGCGTCATGCAGAGAACATGACTGCTGCTGTATTCTTTGTGCTCACAGTAGATAAGTGGACTCTTCAGCCCCTTGTACACTTGCTGGCTGCACACTATGCAGAACATCTATGGTGACATGGTGCGGGTGACATTCTGACAAGGAAATTGCCTATTGTAAACACTAAACTCTATAAATGACCATATATGCTGTCAATTCAACTTCCCTCCCCATCTGCTTTTGCTTTGTGCTGACAATTCTGTTGTTTCTCTGAATGCAGGACTCAAGGGCAGCTAACACATTCCTTTCTCATCTACTTTGGTGGCTTGGCAGTTATTATTTTCACAAATGAATTAATGAAGTCTAGTAAAAAATGTACTAAAAAGAGAGGAGAGTCTACATGTACTACAGCTAAAGTGTAGTCTGGTCAGATGAGTCTAGCCTGGTTAATATCTCTTGATGAGTGAGGCTGTGGCTGTGGGTGGATATGGATGGCATGCTAGAGCCCTCTTGTGCCCCACAGGGTTGAAGAGGCTCAGTACAGCAGGACAGCAGCGGAGCAGCCGGCCCAGAGCAAGAGGAGGTGGAAGAGCATAGGTGCAAATACAGAATGGAAGCATTGCAATAGAGTGCAGGGAACATACTGGAATTGGCAGGGGGTGCAGAGGACCTCCTCAGTGCGTGGCTTTGTGCATGAAAAAACTGAAAGGAGAAACAAAAACAGACAACATGCCAACAGTCAACACGGAGATGAGAGGTGAGGGCATAAACACCATGGCATCATGGGACAGCTGTGAGTGATGGAGTGAGTGTTCGGTGTGCAGTGGAGTGGACAGGGTGGGGCAGAGAGAGAAGGAAGAGATGGGAGGCATGCAAAATGACATTCTGTGAACTCAACTGGGGAGCTGGTTATAAAGAAAAGGAAATACCATGGCCAAGGTGGGCCCTCCATAAACAATAACAGCCCCCTATATTCTACCCTTTGTTCTTAACACCGCTCAACAGTGCTAAAGAAGATAGCCTAGCATAGCTCTTTGAAAAGAACAGAAGCAGAGGCAATATTTACAGCTCAAACATGGAGAAGCCCTGACCTGTAAAATCAATCTGACAACCCGACTATGGGATGTATTAGAACGAGTGCATGTGTGCGTGTGTGTATCAAATGTGTGAACAGACACATGTCTGTCTGCACATGAGCAGTTCTGCAGCAGTCTTTTCCATAGTGGCTGTGCGTGCATGTTCCATGTATTATTTATCTTTAGTCTGGGGATTAAGTGTGAGTGGGTCACAAAACTGGGCCTGATGTCATCACAGCTGTTTGTTTGACCCTCAATTACTGTGTTTAAACATCATTCAGGATGAAGTGGAGCGATAGGCTAGGTTACGAAGGTGATATAACCACCATGTGCTACTAACAAAATCGCCTCAGATAAAACACACTCACAGATATCAACACTAACTTGAAACCATATATTGTGTCTCAATTCGTATTCAATATGAAATATTTCAATGAATCTTTTTAATTCTTAAAATGACAGTTTTCATCAGTGGGGACAAGGAATGACATTACGCTGAAAAAAATAAAATGGAGAAAGGTAATCTCCAGATTCTAGGAACTGAACACTGAAATAAGACTCAATCCAAAACAAATATGAGGGGAAAACGGTTTAGAATGCCTGCCAGAAAATTCCACTCATAAAAGTTATGAGCAAACACTAATCCATCTCCTCCTCTCAGAGGCCTGTGATTACACAGAGCAGAGACTAAACACCACACCAAGGCACAGGCAAAAAAATAGGGACATAGATCAAATAAAACCAAATCATGGAACAGACAATAGGAGGAGGCCTGAATGCAGACAAACAATAATTAAGGCTTCACTCTGAGATGACTACTGTGTAAATCAAAGCTGGAGCTGCACAATAGAACTGACTACGAAGGAAAAAAACGAACACATTTGGTTTCAGAATGTTCTACACCAGTTATGAGGCCTTTCCCTTTGACTTAAAGGGATAATCCACCCCATAAATAAAAATCATGACACTCCTGTCAATTTGGTGAAAGCTTATGTTCTATCAGTGGGTAAAATAAAAATGTTCCCCATGATTTAACTTCTAAGTGGTCCGTCTGTGAAATCAGGAAATCGTCATAGCTACATGGTTCTCGTCACTGGTGATAGGGGATAACACACTATCACATTTCATAACGCTTTTCAAACAATTACCTGCACTCCAGATTGCCAAATCAGCTAATAGATTGTATGAGCATTCTCGTCTAGAACACATCCATCTGTTTATATCGTCATGACAATGTATATATTTTGCTTAGATGTGCTCAATCTAAACAGCGTACCAAATTATTCAACTCAGTTTTTCCTTCAAGTACCATCTCGCAATGCGCCCTGTGTGTCTGTGGGAAACGGCTGTTGTTGCCATAGCAACGTACTCTACTCGCTCTGGGCAGAGAATTGCAAGTTGAACTCGGTGAGATAGACTCCTAAATTGATAGTGCAGTTTGTTTAGCTACTTCACATGCTAATATTGACTTTGGCATTATTGTGTGTAGCCAGCCAGCCCAGAGAAAGCATTGCATTGTGGGTTTTGTCGTCGACTTGAGCTGCAACAGATCTCCACAATGATTTTCACGTTGCTACCAACCTTGTTATAAAGACAAAATGAAACATTTGTTCACAAATAAATATTGATCACATATGTGTTATTTAACACTGTTTAACACTGTTAATGGTTTGGAGTGGATTATCCCTTTAATAATGGCTTTATTATAAATAATAATTATTAGTAGTTTTATTTTGTATTATTATTATTAACAGAATTACCTTGAAATGGGTGTGTAATCATATGCAAACAAATATCTATGGCGCAAGCAATGTGATAAACAAACATTGATCAACTATATTATATGAATTAATTGACTAAATTGGTATCCTACCTTCCTCCTGATATCTGTGAACTGGGAGAAGAGTAGGGACAGGTAGAAAGACAGCTCCAGTATATAGTAATAGTGGATGTCCACTGTCAGTGGCTGTGAAAATACACACACACACACACACACACACACACACACACACACACACACACACACACACACAAATCAATAAAAAGTTAGATCAAAACTAGGTGTAACAGACCTTTCAAATACAATAACTGTTATAGCTAGGTGTAAAGAATTAACAGAGACTTTTCTCATGATCAAAACATTACCTGATAAGGATAGTCGTACCAGCACTCTCTTGTGTTCCATAGCCATGGGGTCTCCAGAGCAAAAAAAATGAAGAGAATATTAATGTATTGTTATTGTCACGACTTCTTCAGAAGCTGCCTCCTCTCCTTGTTCGGGCAGGCTTCGGTGTTCGTCGTCACCGGCCTTCTAGCCACTGCCGCTCCTCATATATTAATTCAAATTTTTTTGTCTTGTTTATTACACACACCTGGTTCATATCCTCTCATCAATACCTGTACAAGTGTTCCCTCTGCCTCCTGGACTTTGTGTGTGATTATTTATTGTAAGAGGAGATTATAGCTCGGTGGAGCTCGATTATATTGTGTATCGCTAGGTTGTTCACCCGTGTGCCTTATTTTCCCCAGTGCGCCGTTTGTCCGCACTGGTGTGTATTACGCATTGCTGCGTACCTCTGTTTATTGATTAAACCAGTTATTCTGTGATTTAGTCTCCTGCGTCTGACTCCGTCCAACATCATCCGCTACAGTTATGCTGTTTCCAAAAGTGTATTACATTCATAAAGTGCTATTGATCGCCACACCTGAATGCTATGCTGCCTCTGGCTCAATACTAAATGTTTACTTAAGCTCCAGCACATCAAGAAACTTGCGACTGTAACCATGTCGGATTGTATTTTCATTAAGGGAAACTTAACTGAATCAAAGCAAACTTTTGCTGTATGCTAGTAGTGCAAATTAATCATGAACGTGTTAGCCTGGGGACCAGACTGAGAATGTTCATTCTGGTCCCAGGCTACATGATGAATGCTGTAGTGACCTGGGGGATGTGGTTAAGACTGTCTTATGTCTTGACACAAGAGGGACCTAGACTACAAAGGCAGGGTAATGAGTTGCTTATCATCATCATCATGTCTCACAGGGTGCTTGCCTTCAAAGACAGATGATTCTGGACCAAAACAAATGTAACCTACTTAAAAATGCTAACTCTGCTTTAGTTGACATGCAAACTCAGACTCTTACATGAGGGAGTTGAATGTATTTTGTAGGTCTATAGTGTAGATTTTTAATAAATACAGGGCCCTTTTTCTACCAGAAAGCACGTTGGGCCTAGTGAGTCTCCACCCCCGCTCCCCGGCCCAACTGCAGGGAATGAACTCATTCCACAATGTGCGTCGTCATGCAAGTTGTTGCAATAAGAAATTCTCCTCGCCGCAACATCTCCTATTCACCCCTAATAATGATTCCTGATCAACGGCAGCATCAGCAACATTCAATTACGACAGACACAAAAGGCTTCTGGCCTCAATATATTACACAATATTAGTGAGCACAGAGTCAGAGAAACACACATAAAAGTCAAGAGATACCATCGAAGTAATGAGGATGTGATTTTCAGTTATTTCCTCCCATCCATCCATTCATCCACGTACAGTGGCTTGCGAAAGTATTCACCCCCTTGGCATTTTTCCTATTTTGTTGCCTTACAACCTGGAATTAAAATGGATTTTTGGGGGGTTTGTATCATGTGATTTACACAACATGCCTACCACTTTGAAGATGCAAAATATTTTTTTCAAGAAATAAGACAGCAAAAACAGAAAACTTGAGCGTGCATAACTATTCACCCCCCCCAAAGTCAATACTTTGTAGAGCCACCTTTTGCTTCACTGTGGGGATGGAGTTCTCGGGGTGATGAGAGGTGTTGGGTTTGCGGCAGACATAGCGTTTTCCTTGATGGCCAAAAAGCTCAATTTTAGTCTCATCTGACCAGAGTACCTTCTTCTATATGTTCGGGGAGTCTCCCACATGGCTTTTGGCAAACACCAAACGTGTTTGCTTATTTTTTTGGAGTGTACGGCTTACAGTGGTCCTATGGACAGATACTCCAATCTCCGCTGTGGAGTTTGCAGCTCCTTCAGGGTTATCTTTGGTTTCTTTGTTGCCTCTCTGATTAATGTCCTCATTGCCTGGTCTGTGAGTTTTGGTGGGCGGCCCTGTCTTGACAGGTTTGTTGTGGTGCCATATTCGTTCCATTTTTCTTTATAATGGATTGAAATGGTGCTCCGTGGGATGTTCAAAGTTTATGATATTTTTTTTATAACCCACCCAACCCTGATCTGTACTTCTCCACAACTGTGTCCCTGACCTGTTTAGAGAGCTCCTTGGTCTTCATGGTGCCGCTTGGTTGGTGGTGCCCCTTGCTTTGTGGTGTTGCAGACTCTGGGGCCTTTCAGAACAGGTGTATATATACTGTACTGAGATCATGTGACAGATCATGTGACACTTAGATTGCACACAGGTGGACTTGATTTAACTAATTATGTGACTTCTGAAGGTAATTTGTTGCACCAGATCTTATTTAGGGGCTTCATAGCAAAGGGGGTGAATACATATGCACGCACCACTTTTCCGTTATTTAAGTAATTTTTGGACTATTTTGTGTATGTCCATTACATGAAATCCAAATAAAAATTCATTTAAATTACAGGTTGTAATGCAACAAAATAGGAAAAACGCCAAGGGGGATGAATACTTTTGCAAGGCACTGTATCTATCTCAACATAGAGTAACAATAGCGTTAGACTGAAGGTGATAGTTGACAGGGAACTAGTTTCTCAACTGTGTATGTCTCAACTGTGTATGTGCTCAAAGACAGTAATATCTGCATAATGGATGCTGTGCTGAGAGCAAATCTATCCATTATTTATCAGTGAGAACTGGTTGGAGTGTTTGAGAGGTGCATTATTTGTCACTTGGTCCCCCTTGCACAGCAAGATCCATCAAGAGTGCAAGCCTCTGTTACAGCTCCTCCTTGAAGAATGTGTCCTCAATACAAAAAGTGCTGAAATAACTTTTTATACTATTCAATTAAATAAATGTGAAATGTAGCACACTCACCTTTTTAAGGAAACGCACTCCATAGGTAAATACATAGAGGTAAAATGTAAATCTCCACCTGTGAAAAAAAACAAAGAGAACAGAACATCAGTCAGTAACACAGTTTTGGGTTTGGATGCATCCTCTGTGGAATGTCAAAGAGAGGCCATGTCTGAGCTGCTGTGAGGGAGGCCAATCCAAGGACAGCCAAGAAAGCCACTGGCTAGGTCCGAATACCCATACTTAAGTTCTAAATAGTAGGCTTTTTGGGTATGCGAAAATAGAAATGTCAAGTATGCTTTAAATGCCAGGATGTCATACTCATTTCGGCTTTTCATCAGGTAGAATTTGCTGCACACTTTTGAGGAAGTGTGTTTGACAACAGCTGATAATCAGACATTTACAAAATGGCACATGTACAGTGAGGGAAAAAAGTATTTGATCCCCTGCTGATTTTGTACGTTTGCCCACTGACAAAGAAATTATCAGTCTATAATTTTAATGGTAGGTTTATTTGAACAGTGAGACAGAATAACAACAACAAAATCCAGAAAAACGCATGTCAAAAATGTTATAAATTGATTTGCATTTTAATGAGGGAAATAAGTATTTGACCCCCTCTCAATCAGAAAGATTTCTGGCTCCCAGGTGTCTTTTATACAGGTAACGAGCTGAGATTAGGAGCACACTCTTAAAGGGAGTGCTCCTAATCTCAGCTTGTTACCTGTATAAAAGACAAATGTCCACAGAAGCAATCAATCAATCAGATTCCAAAATCTCCACCATGGCCAAGACCAAAGAGCTCTCCAAGGATGTCAGGGACAAGATTGTAGACCTACACAAGGCTGGAATGGGCTACAAGACCATCGCCAAGCAGCTTGGTGAGAAGGTGACAACAGTTGGTGCGATTATTCGCAAATGGAAGAAACACAAAAGAACTGTCAATCTCCCTCGGCCTGGGGCTCCATGCAAGATCTCACCTCGTGAAGTTGCAATGATTATGAGAACGGTGAGGAATCAGCCCAGAACTACACGGGATGATCTTGTCAATGATCAAGGCAGCTGGGACCATAGTCACCAAGAAAACAATTGGTAACACACTACGCCGTGAAGGACTGAAATCCTGCAGCGCCCGCAAGGTCCCCCTGCTCAAGAAAGCACATATACAGGCCCGTCTGAAGTTTGCCAATGAACATCTGAATGATTCAGAGGAGAACTGGGTGAAAGTGTTGTGGTCAGATGAGACCAAAATCGAGCTCTTTGGCATCAACTCAACTCGCCGTGTTTGGAGGAGGAGGAATGCTGCCTATGACCCCAAGAACACCATCCCCACCGTCAAACATGGAGGTGGAAACATTATGCTTTGGGGGTGTTTTTCTGCTAAGGGGACAGGAAAACTTCACCGCATCAAAGGGATGATGGACGGGGCCATGTACCGTCAAATCTTGGGTGAGAACCTCCTTCCCTCAGCCAGGGCATTGAAAATGGGTCGTGGATGGGTATTCCAGCATGACAATGACACAAAACAAACGGCCAAGGCAACAAAGGAGTGGCTCAAGATGAAGCACATTAAGGTCCTGGAGTGGCCTAGCCAGTCTCCAGACCTTAATTCCATAGAAAATCTGTGGAGGGAGCTGAAGGTTCAAGTTGCCAAATGTCAGGCTCGAAACCTTAATGACTTGGAGAAGATCTGCAAAGAGGAGTAGGACAAAATCCCTCCTGAGATGTGTGCAAACCTGGTGGCCAACTACAAGAAATGTCTGACCTCTGTGATTGCCAACAAAGGCTTTGCCACCAAGTACTAAGTCATGTTTTGCAGAGGGGTCAAATACTTATTTCCCTCATTAAAATGCAAATCAATTTCTAACATTTTTGATATGCGTTTTTCTGGAAGTCTTTGTTGTTATTCTGTCTCTCACTGTTCAAATAAACCTACCATTAAAATGATAGACTGATCATGTCTTT